ATTTCTTCACACATGAAAAATCATGTTCCCCTCGGGCGTTGCCCTCGGAAAATATGATTTTTCATGGGCGAAGAAATCTTCATGTCTACCTCACTATCAAGCAATAAATGTATAATATTTATTTTTCGTCTAACAGTATAATTATGATAAATATCGTAATATCCTAAATCCTTATTCTAAAATGTTTACAAACTCCTTGCTCTTTACTACGGTATCTTTATTCAGGCATTAGTATTGACAGCTAGCACGTTGAACAGTAAACGAAGACTTTAATATGCAATAGTTCTTCAATCTAGTTACTTATTATGATTTTATGTACTGATTTACTGCAAAGAGAATGGAAACACAATTTCTAAATTACAATTTACTTAAAGGGGAACAAATATAAAAACAAAATTTTTGTATACATGCATTTTAATCAATCAGCCAGGCATTCAGCCAAATGATCATCATACAAACACATAAAAGAAAAAAAAAATTGATTTGCAACTTCAAAGAATACAGTAAGTGTTGCGACCACGATTTATAATGTTTCTTTTCTACTATGGTGGTTAAATAAAATGTACAAAATCAAATTTGTTTATTTAAAGATGATGGCAGATATGCGTTGAAAAGTGAATAGCAGCAGCAAGGCTCTGTTTTCAAGGTCCTAGTTTATACATATCTGACAATTAAAATCCCCCCCCCCCCCAAAAAAAAAAAAAAGAAATTAATATCAAATTTTCACATAATTTGTTTACTTACCACGGCATGTCAAAACAATTATAGGTCTCAATTTCTTGAAATTGTTGAAAATGTTCAATATATTTTTAAGACAGCTATAGGCCTTTATTGTGTTTCATAATATGAACATCACAACCACTGCATCGTCGCAAACCACGACCAAAATGTACGATCCTCTCCCATCTAGGAGAGAGCTATATGCGGACTCCGGACCGTGGCTGGAGACGATGCAATCACTGACACAAAATAATAAATTCATTTTAACTAACGATTTTTCCATTAATCATAAATATGTCATGCTATAGTTAAGACACAACCCATTCACATTCATCAAAATGTAGATTTGAGGGGGCACAACCAAACATTTTCAGTTGGGGGGGGGGGGGAGGGGGGGGCACTATCAAGTACCAAAAAAAAAAAAAAAAAGTGAGACGTTATTATTGAGGTGGCACGAGCATGTAGTAGCTATATTTTCTATAGTCTTCTATATATCGGCAAAATTATTGGGGGCACGCCCACCTCCCTCCACCCCATCCCGTGCACCCCCCCCCCCCCCGGTTACTACGGCCATGAGTCAAGTCACAACAAAGTATTACTGTTGCACTGTACACTATTACGTTAGAATGTTACAGCTAATCAGATCCAGTTGCATCGTCACTGTCACCACCCCAATCACAGAGAATCCACACCATATTCTGTTTTTCAGCATGAACAAGTGGCTTGCTAAGTCTGCTTAATTGGAAAAGCTGTCCTCTAACTGGATTGTCTTCCTACTAAGGATTTCGAAAAAAAAATCACTGACAATTAATACGTACATTTATGTACGTTATTGATAATTACTAGATTATTACAGCCTCAATCACAGGATTTCGCAATTTTATCGATAAAGTTAAAAGAAATCATTCGATTGACCTAGCATCAGCTACATGTATGCATTAGCATAGCGAATATGCGAACGCATAGCTCATGGCTTGGTCAATCGAGTGATTTCTATTGATTTTATTCTCCTGTGGCCTCAATGGGCATAACCAGTGTCCACTGAGTAATAAAAAAAAGTAATGAAGTCCCGCACAATCATGACAATTGTACCTTTTAGAATTTACTAAGAGAAACACACATTACAGTTTGTACTTACTATAATATATTCTTCCCAGACTGAAGAAAACTGCGTCCTCGTGCAATTCATCTGTCAAGGTCAGCCTCTTGCGATTTTTTTCTCCTCCATCTTTTGAAGAGTTTTTCCGGATTTCAAAAATCGAAAGTCAAATATTTATTATTAAAACACGTTTACTTAGAACAACAGTATTTGGCAGACAAGAAGCTCTTCTTGTAGATAATGCACAGAAGTCGATTGAAAAAAAAATAATCGGTTGACAATAAAGAAAAAGAGCTTCGTTACCAAAGATACCATGTCATTCGATAATACCATGACAGACCCACATCTGTCGTATACAGCTATGTTCATTTACTTGATGGTTACCAAGATTAAAAGACAATTTTTCTCTCACTGAGTAGGCAGAAAATCTAAACAAAATAGATTTATATTCCTGTATCGACGCCGATTGCTTTTCAAATATTTGCATCGGTGAGATCTATTTACACCAGGGACCTTTATACTGAGTATATAGGTCCTTGGTTACACAACGTGTTGAAATTTATTAAAACATCAAGGAATATATTTTACAAGCCAAGAGCATATATATTAGTTTATTATACTTCTGTTAAAATGTTTCCTATATAAAGTTAAGAAGGTAAAATAACTTTTGTTATAGTCTGAAAATTTCCATGCATAGCAAAGCTACATGTATACCCCGGGGTATAGTTTGTGTTATTATACCTGAATTTTTTCTACATAAAAGAACGACAAATAAAACTTCTATTTTTTCTAAACAGCCCCTACCGTAGAATAGTGTTTGTGCTATTTGCCCATGGTGAAATAGTCATCAAACTATTCACCGGAAGCATTCCATTTCCCTCGTTTTCATCTCAAAATTATATGGGTTGTTGTATTGTGATGTATCTGGTTTGTGTCGTAACAAAAGTAAAGTCGGCTTCGATATAATAAAACACCTATTTACTGACTATTCGGACAATAGCAAGTTTATCGTCCCCCTCGACAGCAACTATTCCCCTGCGCCTCGGGAAATAGTCGCTGTCTTGGGGGACGATAAACTTGCTATTGTCCTCATAGCCAGTAAATAGGTGTATACTATCCACCCCTCGCCAATTTTCATTTCCTATAATCAATCTATAGACTGATGATGTCATCATGACTTCAGTAGCATTGTGACGTCATCAGGATTGAAACTGTAGTGTCAGGTAATTCAACCCTTAGAAATTATTATATACATGTATCAGTATAATAAAACGCTTATCAACTGGTGGTGAGTGGGATAGCTCTTTCATTAAAGCCTTGACAGGAACTATACCCCTCGGGCAAGCCAAGCCCTCGGGGAATAGTTCCCTGTCGCGGGTTTGATAAAAGAGCTATCCCACTCACCACCATGCAGTGGATAAATGTATAATATACCTGTAGGTCTCTAATGTAGCCGTATTATTAAGGGTTAAACGTTCTTTTCTAAATTTTATCGATGTGTAAACTCTTGACATTTTACTCAATGTGCGAAGCAGATCAGATCAGGCAACATTATTGACCATTTCGATATTTTCTTTGTGGCAATAAAATATGCGTGAAGTTTTTGCTTATGTTGATCTCGAGACCCGTACCGGTTGACTCCAGTTGTATTACTATGTGTATAAAATAATGTTCAAAATTTTCTCAAGGAAATAACCCTGTGTACTGAACTGACAACCCCACATCTTAGATAAACATGCCTCTGGAGGTGTGTATACTACAGGGGCCTACTGGGGCATGTACCGTGACATACCGTTGGTCACTGTAGGAAGCAGTAGCCATACTGGGGCCTACCCACTGTAGGTAACTGTGGCATGCTGGGGATACATACAGTGACATACTGAGAATTAGTGCATATACAGAGGAGACATACCATACCATATTGTAGATATACCGTAGATAGCTGTGGAAATGCTGTAGGTTACAGAGAAAGACAGGGGATTTTCATACGGACAGGGGTTTTGAAAGCCAGTAGTGAAAAGACTGCCTGAAAATTGTACTTAGGACTTGCCTAAAGTACTGTAAAAATTCACAATATTTTAGTAATCAACTAATACCGTAACAAACCAACTGGCAGACATTTTTCCAACGATTTTCCTTCACAGAAAATAGATAAATCTGAAACGCATTAAAATACAATCCCAGATCAATCAAATAAGAAACGAGGGAAAAATCGCCAAGTTAAAAGTTGAAACTAAAATGAAAAACCCCAAACGGGCTTAAACTTGGCAAGCGCGTTGACTGGCTGAAACACGTACCTAGGCCATGTCTATAGCACTGTAAAAGTCACAAAGTATTAAGTAATTTCAAACAATATCTATCAAACAAATTGACGGCCATTAAAAGTAACAAACTTGTGACAAACTTGTTCCATTTTCAGGAAAATCTATTTTCTCGCTGAAATTAACGCTCCCCTTATACTCCTATATAAATGTACATTCCCTTGTTTGTTCAGATGAACTCCGTTGTGTACGAATTTCCGACTACAGTCCCCCTCAAGGGGAGAAAGAAAATAATTCCCGTGTTCCCAAAACACACACTAACCTAGTGATGGCAATGCACCTCTCAATATTGCATTTACTCTGTCTGCTACATCACTGTACCCAAAACTAACCTTAAATCTCAGCAATAATTTGCAAACAATTATTTCCGCAACATTATAGTGGCGATGCATTACCGATGCCACAGTTTCAATTACTTGATAAAATAAATAAACAAACTTGAAAACGTCCGTCCTCCAAGGCTGTTGGTGGGAGAAGAGGCAGAGTGACGCACCGCGTGGCCAGAATTTTATTTGTTAGATTTTGATTGGTCAGCCTCTGCCTCTCCTAAGACATGAAACAAAATGACCATTATACAATCATGTAATACATCGCTGTACAATATTTCGGACTTTAACATTCAAGGAGGACACTTATTGCTTACAATAAAAAATTTAAGTAAACTTAAATTTATTTAAAAACTGAGTAAAAAAATTGTTTAGCCAATCTTATTTCGATTAATGAATTCTGTAATAAATAATTAAACAGCCAACCTTATTTCGATTAATGAATTCTGCAATAAATAATTCTTAAAATATTGACATTTTTTTTTACAAACGCCTATAATTGGATAAAAAGCTCAAACTGTTTTTATGTTATTGCTAACCACATGTCACACCGGCATCTTCAGAATGGTCACAGTTGTGATGTCCAATTACAGTATGTGAACAATAAAAGAGATCCGATTCATCTCCAGTACATCCTAAATCGTCATATACAATTGGTCCTGTTCCTTGTCCAAAGTGATGATTTCCATATGCTACTGCATTTCTCCTGTGGTTATAAATAATACTAGTACATAAATCACATTGGTTTATTTTGTAACTTCGAAAAACAGAGTTCTTGGAGAAATGTTTGTATTTGACGAATGTGAATTAAGTTTCTTAATTGCTTGCTTAGGTCTGACGTGACAGATGTTATACCTAAGTTAATTAAAGTTACTTATTAAATATTTATGAAAATCCATTGACAATAGTTTAACTCTGTTTGATGCCAAAAAACAAAATTAGATTTAAAAAAAAAAAAATAGTAAACAGCCAATAATTTACATTGAAAGTGACACTATACACGAAGAACAACATGTCATGAATTAAATGTAATGTAATTAAATCAGAATATAAAAAAAATGTGCAGTTGAAGGATTTTTACATATTTACATATAAGAGATTTCAATTTCTGACATTCGAAGATAACGTATTAAAAAGTAAGTAAACTTCTGCAAGTTACCTCTTGTGCATTTTTTTAAATACTGCAAAAGTTTCAATTACGTTTTTTTAATATTATATAATTTAAGATCGTATGAAAGTATTGTCATAACTTTAAAGACTAAATTCTTGACAAACACAATTAAGACTAGTTGAAATGTATAAAGTTCTAATTACCAACTCTTTCCAAGCATACGGCATACAACTTTGGCATCATTATTATCGAAATGATCATCACAAACTGTCCCCCAACTTCCAAAAAGTTTTATTTCCACCCTACCGGAATTTGTAAGAATGCCACCTAGTCTTATTCCTGAAAATATGTACAATAATATACATGTATTCTATTATCAAAAATTGTTATATACTCAGAAATATGTCAACATATAAAAGGATGAAGTAATTCAGATTTTTCTCTTTGATAAATGTGATGTTTAATTATTTGTTGAGTATTAACTATATTAAAGTTTTTTTTTTTTTCCAAATGAATATCGTTATTTTGGCGTAGAAGATATGTGTGAAGGTTAATTATATCCTGAATTAAAATTTTCAACCATCAACACATCATTTGAATACTTTTAATTTAAATAATGATATATAGATGTTTTCCCATCAAATTATAACATTATAATATAATATAGAACTCCTTGTAACATTGCCCATATTCTGTAAGTTTTGATTTTTTAGAGCACGGACTTTCAGATATCCTACAATAGAACTCCTTGTGACTAGATTTTTCTTCTGCTATCACAAAATTTGATGTTTTTACCTTGATTGTGAAGTTCGACAATATTTTAGCATATTTTTCCATTGATTGTTTTTTGAATCTTTTAATGTTAGATCTTTCATTTTTCAAATGTTTAATCTTTTTACAAGACCTATCTTCGATTATCAACGTTTTTGGCCATTGACATTGGCCTTGAAGTTTATCCTAGATTGGAAAAACTATTATACTGTAACCATGGACATATCTTTAAATGGTTGGTACAAGAACTTTTATTTTCTCTTGTGTATTACATTTGATATAGCTTTGCCTTGGATAACTTTTTTTTTTTCTTTGGACCTTGGCCTTGGAGTAAAACCTGTTTTGTACCACTGACATTTTCAATAATTTTTGAATATTTAGTATAATGGCTGATATATTTCGGATGTTTTTTTTTTCTTGTTACAAGACCATACTTTGGGCAATTTCTTTTTATATTTTGGCCTTGGCTTTGAAGTTTAACTTGGTAGGAAACTTTGATCTTTTAAAATGACAAGTCATACGGAGGATTTAGTTTTCGATAACAAATCTTGTTATTTTTATTTAACTTTTGGTGTTGAGTTAAATTGGCATGACTTTTGAATAGATATACATGTACAGAAATGTGTTTAAAATAAAATACGGTTCTTTTTTATATTGATGAATCTATCTCGATCTGAGAAGGCTTGTAGTCCTATATTTATCTGCTGAATGTTACGTCCGACTTTTTTAACTTTAATAATAAAACATTTCGAGGTCATAGGTCAGTACATCAGTCATTGTTCAAAGTTCTACTGAAAGGCTACATGTACATATCAAAGTCCAAAATCACAAACATTAAACACAAAATAAAATAGTACCTGTACGGAAAACAGTTTCGATATTTGTTTTTAGATAATGACAATATACATGTACATTGTATACCAAAACGGCACCTTATAGAAATAATATATATCCTCTGCTGTCATTAAAAAAAGAATTTGCAATATTTATTTTTTTTTTCTTTATTTCAACTACTACACTCTAAAAAATGAAAGTCAAGACCAGGGTATTGATATATATAGTCCAATAGACTATATATAATCACAAGGGACCCATCGGTCAAAACGCTCACCTGAGAAACTTTGGTCCTGCTGTTCTCTACCAGACCTTGCCCCTTGTAATACCTATTGTAGCCCCACCCAATCCCTGGGGTCATAATTTGAACAATTTAGAATCTACACTACCCCAGGATACTTCCACATACGTTTCATCATTTTTAGCCCAGTGGTTCTTGAGCAGAAGATATTTAAGGATTTTTCCTTATACGAATATTTAATGTAAATTGCCTATTGTGCCCCCGCCCTACCCCCGGGGGTGATAATTTTAACAATTTACACTACCCCCGGATTCTTTCACGTTAGTTTCAGCTTTTTTGGTCCAGTGGTTTTTGAGAAAAAGATTTTTTATTGACCCAACCCTATTTTTGTCTTTTCTTGATTTTCCTTATTGTGGCCCCCGCATACACCCGGGGGTTCATGATTTTAACAATTTAAAATCTACATTACCCAAGGATGCTTCCAAGTAAGTTTCAGCTTTTCTGGCCTAGTGGTTTTGGGGAAGATTTTTTTAAATGACAAAATCCTTTTTGTCTTTTCTTGATTATCTTCCTCCCCCCTTGTAAGGGTATTTGGCCCTTCCTTTTAACAATTTAATCTCTTATTTACCCATGGAAACCTTGTACCAATTTTGGTTAAAATTGGCTCTTGAGAAGAAGTTGAAAGTGTGAAAAATTACAGACGAACGGACAGCTAGAGGAACGACGGATATTGGGTAATCAGAAAAGCTCACTTGAGCTTTTTAGCTGAAGTGACCTAGAAATGGTTTTAATAAAAATTGTTCGATCTTAATAATATCAGATAGAAAAGATATGGAAGAAGGTCAAAATGAAAACTAAAGTCACGAAGTAACTAAATTTTGTAATTAAATGAACACTTACCGGGTATTTAAAGTAACACATTAGGCAACTTATTGATTCTACAGAAAAACGGTTTAGAAGAATATTTTTGACAAATGAATGCGTACCCGAATGATCTCTTTCTCACCTTAGAAAATGTCAAGCAAAAATTCAGAAAGAGAGAAAGAGAAGGAGAGAGAGATTTACCGTTTGGTTTCATAAAATCATAGAGGGTTTTGTTAAGATTTTGGAAGTCTGATTGAAGTTGTAGTCTCTTTGAATCCAGAGAGTTTGTGATCTTTTGAAGAGTTGATAACAACGTCTGATTGACTCCGTCAATAGCTACTGCAACCTTATGTACTGTCGCTTGTAAGGCTGTTTGCTCTTGGACTAGAGTAGTGTTTAAGATGTCCTGTTCAATTTGAATGTTGTTTTGTTTTCTGTTTAAAGAACTGAGTTCCAGAAAAATGGTATTGTTTATAATTTCATCCTTCATTTCATTGCCGTTCAAAGAAAGTGTGAGGTAACGAATAGAGTGTTCCATGTGTGACAATCTTTGCGTAATAACTTGTAATCCTGTTAGATTGTTCAGCTGCTCAAAGTCTTGCTTGATGACACCAAATGAAGACGTCAAATCAAGGAACTTTGACATCAGCTGATTCACAGTGCTATATGTAACATTGCTGTCAACTTTTTGTTTATTTTTCAGAGTTTGGATTTCCTGCTCCTGAACTTTCACTTTGGCTTTTAAATCCAAAACTTCCTGTACCAAAAGTGAAAGAGTGGCATCGCGTCCAAGCGGTCCGATTGTCGTGGACTGCACGTTTTCATTATCTCCGTGGAAGAGTAGACACTTGTTTTTTGGAAAAAGAAAAAATAAAAGAAACATACACACCCCTTTTCGGTCCATGTTCAAGTCGCGTTATCTTGTCAAGGTTTGCTATTTTTATATAGGGCCTAACTGATAATGCTTGGATAAAAACTCTGTTGCTTGCCTGTTGGTTGTGAATGAAACACTCAGCCTTTAGACTTAATGTATGGTGGCATATTTATATACCATCCACATAAATTTTTGTCAAGAAAAGCAATCGCATTATTTTATTCTTTACGCAAGATAAGTTATCTCGTCATGTCAAGATAGTTATCGCAACAAATGTGATAGCTTATTTTGACTGGACAAGATATAAAGTCGGTGTCTATCGACAAACCAGAATGTTTTCATGACTTGAGGGGATAGTTATCTTGACTCGGCATGATATGCAATGTTGACAAAAAATTATGTCGATGGCATAAATATGCCACGATATTTTTCTTTTCTTTATAACTTAAATAACTTTCAATAAAATATACAATCATAACTATGCGATTGAAATCTGAATATCGTTTTCGGACATCACCTTATACCTAGTTTATTCTTAGAGGAATAAGCTTGAACCCTGGCGCAGCCGTTTCGAAGTTTATTTCCGACATTATTTATAAGTATAGAAATGTCATTATGAGTATTAAGGACTGGAATTTTTTACCAGCTTCTATTAAATGTACTAATTAAATTTAATGTGTAAGCAACACAGTGCTAAAACTATAGTGCCAAACAATCTTTATAGTGCTTTAATGATGAAACATTGTATTGTTATCTTATTTAAGATAGGATCCCATTGGAAATAAGCTCTAGAGCTTTAATGGGTTATCCTGGTATCAACTAGTCACAGTGGAATTATATTTCTACAAATATGGTTTCGATCGATCCTGAATATCTTTTTATAAATCTATTCAAAATTTATGGATTCCTAAATATTGTCTTTCGAATGTTTTGTATAGTTATGTGTATTTGTTTTTGTATGATGGCATGATACCAATTAATGATGATGATAATTATTGTCAAAATTTTCTTAATGACATTCCTTTACTAGAGTACTGTAAAAATTGATTCCATGTCTAAATTACGTTTAAAGAAGAATTGATATTCAACTTTTGCAAATTGTTGTAATTGATGTATATATAGATGCATACTGTACAGTACCGATCAGACACAAGTCAATACAAAAGCGAACGAACCCCGAGTTTCACCCTGTATTATAGGCATTATTATCATTAAGCAAGATCATCTTAGACAGGAGGACAACTGTGTAATTTATTGATTACTGCGTGAACAAACAATTAACGTACAATGATTTACGGAAAAGGTTATACATATACCCGTTGAGTACTGGCATATAAACTGTACATCATTTTCCTTAGTCAAGAGTCTCTGAGTTTGACGGGACTAGAAATGACTCTTTGATTGACTTCATAACAGTTTGCATGAGCCAATCAAAAACATTGTTTTATTTAACAGGAAAATAAATCATAAAGCAAAAAATACACCTGTTTAACTCCCAAAGATAATCCCTTTACCATTTAAAAAATAATTATAATAAAAAAAAGAATTATAGTCTTTACTCGGCTTTGGATTAAAAGTAACTAGTACACTGTATGTTGAGTTTTTAACAGTCTTCAAATATTTTTTACTGCATTTGTGTTTAATTCACATACTCTGATTTTCAATAGCAAAAGTCAATAGTTTCACTATGTGTAAATTCACTAGATTGCGCGAAATTACGGAGTGGATCAGAAACCTCAAGTGTTTGCCTTTAAAAGATGAACGTATATGTATGTGTTTTATTAACTATAATCTATTTACTATAAGTTGAGGATAAGAATACAAAAATCATTTACCCAATAAATAATTAATAAAATTTATTTACTTTTGTCAATAAATTTAGCAATTGTTTAAAAAACAAAAAGTGGCAGACTAATTATGATTGTTTTGTACAGTTCAGTTTTGGTTTGACGATTGTTTTTACGAAAAAAAAATGTGTATAATTATGTTTATACATGGAATTTATTTATTTATTTATTCATTTTTTTTTTTGGGGGGGGGGGGGGGGGCATTGGCATTCTGCAATAAATTATTTTTTTCGAAGTACTATTTTCAATGCTTATTTTTTTTATTTTATGTCGACTGACAAACGATCAATTATTGGCATTCTATAATCGTAATTTCAATGTCTGAAATGCATGTATTACGTAACCCGAAATTAATTGAAATAAAACAGACACCACGGCCTTCCAACCCCGAATTACAATATAAATTTGTGGGCTCAGTCCCCCTTTTTGATATAAAATGAAAGATCTTGTACTTCTGCACACGTTTTGTTCTGTATGTTATTATAACTTAATGATAACTGATATTCTAAAGGATGAATCTTCATAACACTGCTTTCTCGCCCCTTTTTAAATGTTCAAATCTGAACATGGTTATATTGAAGCTTAAGTCTTCAAGCATAGTCTGTATAGATACTTATAGAAGATTTTTTGGGAAGGAGACTTTCATTATATACATTATATCGATTAAATAAATAAAATAGTATACTTCACTGTAAAATCCCGGTTTCGCCATTACAGCTATGTAGGTCATTGTATTGTTTAAATGAGAAGGCGGAGTGTCTATCAAACGTGCGATTAGTATGAATACATTAGCGTGTGTTCGAGGTGTACTAAGTTTTATGATAAACTGACACCTAAAAGCCCTCTTTTTTCGTGATAGAGACCGACAAAAATAAATTTTTAATTTGGCAGGCTTAACTTTGATTTTTTTTTCTGCTTAACTTACGAGTTGTTTTGAAATGATTTACTGGAAATTTGTTAAATTATTTTTACATTAAATACACAATGTAATTTGTAAACGAATTTGTAACGAAGGATACACTATTTTTCATACTTTAAAGAAACCTTTTTTTAAAAGAGATAATTAATCCATTTAAGCTTATTACAAAATTAGAATTTATTTCATACATATATAATTTTGCAAAATCTGAGTCTTACAACAAATACACATAGACGGTTGAATTCTGATATAAAACTACACTCTGTGTATATATATCGTTTAGAAAGTGAAAATTAAAACGTCAATAAACGTCAGTTTCATCGCTGGTGGATAAAGATTCATCAGTATCAGTGTACATGTACTTTGTACATGTACTTTGTACAGTCCAAATTACATTGTTTCAAATCCTGTTTATTCATGCCAGACAAGTTAATATGATCTTCCTCAGCTAGAAATTCATTAATTGTTGAAATCTACTCCTATACTTCTTGATTTTAACAAGCTCTCTCCCTGTAGTAAGATAAACAATAAATCGCTCCAAGGTATTAATAACCCCTTTTTCATTCGACTGATTTTTTTCCTAATATCTAAATCTTTAATGATACGTTGATCGAACATGTGAAAGAGTCATACAAGTGCATTTTCTTGCTTTTAAACATTATGCTTTAAAACTACCTGCGAACATGGACTTATTTTTACATGATCTGCAAAAAAAAAAAAAATAAATAAATAAATAGATAAATAAAATATTTGTGAGATTTTGTGCCGATGTAAAAAGTTGTAGCATTAGCATGTGTGTCGTCAGAAGAAACCTGAATCTTCCTTCTATTCAAATTAGGGGTGCATTTTGTGCAAATGTATTCATCCAGTGACTTTTCATTCGATTTATTGATTAATTGTATGTTGTTTTCAATCAGTCATTCGAATGAAAAATCACTGGATGAATACATTTGCACAAAATGCACTTTTCATTCGATACACAAGTCTTTTTAGCGCTCCGTACTTCAATTGGAAGTATGCATTTGTGCACTTGTAACAAACAGTTTACCGGGGTATTTTTCTAAAGATATGATGAAATGGTGTTTTTCAAATAACGGTCTATATAATTAGTGACAGTTTTAACAGAAAAAATATCTCTTATATCTTCCAAGAGTCAATGAACGTAGCACTGAATAAGATGTATATTTAGGAACAAAGGCAAATGTATAAGATATACCAACAGTAATTTAAATCTTAAAATTCTGTATTTGAGACACAGGCAGTAAGTGCAAGCTATATGCTACAGGCCTTCAATATAGATTGATTGGTACAAAAAAAATCAAACAAAATCGACTGAAATACGTTTAATAACAAGTTAATCAAATATCTAAACACATCTTAATCATAAAAAGAGGCCCATGGGCCACATCGCTCACCTGAGCACATTGGCTAGGGAAAAAAGCAAAAATCAGTACAGTATTGAAATCATTTCATATCAATATAACAAATGGCTTTGTTGTTCTTGAGCAGCAGATTTTTTTCCCATATATTCATTTGTAAAAATTTGATCCCCCATTGTGGCCCCACCCTACCCCCGGGGGCCATCATTTGAACAAATTTCATTCTACACTACCCAAAGATGCCTCCATATCAATTTGACTAATCATGGCTTTTCTGTTCTTGAGAAAAAGACTTTTTCCTATATATTCCTCTGTAAACTTTGATCACCCATTGTGGCCCCAACCTATCCCCGGGGTAATGATTTGAACAAACTTGAATCTTCACTATCTGAGGATGCTTCCATATAAATATGACCAATCATGGCTTTACTATTCTTAAGAAGAAGATTTTTAATGATATTTTCCTATATATTTCTATGTAAAACTTGGATCCCCCATTGTGACCCCACCCTACCCCCGGGGGTCATGATTTGAACAAACTTGAATCTACACTACCTGAGGATGCTTCCATAAAAATATGACCAATCATGGCTTCGCTGTTCTTAAGAAGAAGATTTTTAAAGATATTTTCCTCTATATTTCTATGTAAAACTTGGATCCCCCATTGTGGCCCCACCCTACCCCCGGGGGTCATGATTTGAACAAACTTAAATCTACACTACCTGAGGATGCTTCCATAAAAATATGACTAATCTTGGCTTCGCTGTTCTTAAGAAGAAGATTTTTAAAGATATTTTCCTATATATTTCTATGTAAAACTTGGATCCCCCATTGTGACCCCACCCTACCCCCGGGGGTCATGATTTGAACAAACTTGAA